CCTCGGCAGGTGGAGCGGCAGCATGCTCTCTAGCTTGGTGGCGAGTGGTGACTGGATGAGTTTCAGCAGGGGTCTCGGTGCCAAAAGTTGAGACCAGGACTCCCAGATCATTTCCAAGGAGAACCTCAGCTGGCAAGTTCTGCATTACTCTAATTTCAACATCCCTGGCCCCGGCCCCCCAGTGCAGATGAACCCTTGCGGTAGGAATCCGGTAGACATGGCCTCCCGCCCGCTACCCGTACGGCCACAGACCGCCTGGTCTTGGCCCAGTCTGGTACCAGTTGGGGTTGGACTAGGGTGAGTGTGGCCCCAATGTCCCGTAATCCTTGGTCTCAATGGCAGTTAACATGAACAGCCTGTTGGTGTTGTCAGCGATTGTCCAGGGTGGCAGCCTGGAGAGGGTTAGCCTCATGAAAGACCCCGATGTCCTCATCCTCGGTGGTAAAATTCCTCCATGAAGAGGCGGTGTCACTCGGGTGGTCATGTAGGGAATAGGCAGAGGCTCGGCCATAGGGAGTGGTGGGTCGGTTGGCTGCTCTGGGGCCTTGGTGGATTCCGGGGGCAATAAATGCGGATGTGCCCTGTTTGGTTGCAGCCATAAACAGCGTGGGCCAAACCGCTTTGGGTCAGAAGGTGTGGGTAGTCTGAGGCATTCTCGGGTGACCGGAGTGGGCACCACTGGTTGTGGACAAGTGCAGGGGGAATGGTGGGCTCGGTTAGCTTCCTGTTATCCAGTACTCCACTCATCCTGCCCAGCGACTATCATCGGCTAACGTTAGGGGGTGGTTTTGTCCCGGACCCAATGTCTAACATCCCCTGGAAGTCCATTGTAAAACTGCCCCAGTAACAGCAGTTGTAACAGTTCCTCTAGCTTGGTGATCTGACACCCTTGGACCCAGCTGCGGGCAGCGTTTTTGTAACTGATGTCCCCATTCAGTGAAGGTGTCCTGGGTTTCTTCTTGAGTGACCGGAACTTTAAGTGGTACGCCTCTGGGGTGAGAGCATGAGAGTGGGCCAGCAAGTGTTCCTTAAACAAAATCATAATCCAAGCAGTAGCTGTTGAGTACAGTCCTGAATGTGTATGCAGCCCAACCGGTTAGCTTGCTGCTCAAAATGGGGGATCAAAAACCAATCCTTCCCCCACAACCACGAGTCGGAACTTCGTGTAGGGTGAAAATGACTCCTTCTTTATTAAACACAGTTCAGTATATACAGCATATCCTGGCAGTAATCCCCGCCCCCTTCAGTCCCACCAGACAGCCGGGCACCGGGGTTTTCCCCACCCACAACAAAGCCCTACAACCAACAATACAGTATGAACTCTATTAGAAGTGAAAGACTACAAGATCACATTTCCCTAAACAAACAGTGTACAATGTCTGTGAAGCATAAACAGCTTTACAAAGGGGATAAAACCAGAACAGAAAGGGCAAAATGTTATCACAAAGGGACGGTTCATCACAATATATATATATATATATATATATATATATATATCATACATATAATATATATTATATATATACACAGTCAGGTCCATAAATAATTGGGACATCAACACAGTTCTAACATTTTTGGCTCTATACACCACCACAATGGATTTGAAATGAAACAAACAAGATGTGCTTTAAACTGCAGACTGTCAGCTTTAATTTGAGGGTATTTACATCCAAATCAGGTGAACGGTGTAGGAATTACAACAGTTTGCATATGTGCCTCCCACTTGTTAAGGGACCAAAAGTAATGGGGTACAATTGGCTTCTCAGCTGTTCCATGGCCAGGTGTGTGTTATTCCCTCATTATCCCAATTACAATGAGCAGATAAAAAATGTCCAGAGTTTTCATTTCAAGTGTGCTATTTGCATTGGAATCTGTTGCTGTCAACTCTCAAGATGAGATCCAAAAAGCTGTCACTATCAGTGAAGCAAGCCATCATTAGGCTGAAAAAACAAAACAAAACCCATCAGAGAGATAGCAAAAACATTAGGCGTGGCCAAAACAACTGTTTGAACATTCTTAAAAAGAAGGAACGCATCGGTGAGCTCAGCAACAGCAAAAGACCCGGAAGACCATGGAAAACAACTGTGGTGGATGACCATAGAATTCTTTCCCCAGGTGAAGAAAACACCCTTCACAACAGTTGGCCAGATCAAGAAACACTCTCCAGGAGGTAGGTGTATGTGTGTCAAAGTCAACAACCAAGAGAAGACTTCACCAGAGTGAATACAGAGGGTTCACCACAAGATGTAAACCATTGTGAGCCTCAAAAACAGGAAGGCCAGATTAGAGTTTGCCAAACGACATCTAAAAAAGCCTTCACAGTTATGGAACAACATCCTATGGACAGATGAGACCAAGATCAACTTGTACCAGAGTGATGGGAAGAGAAGAGTATGGAGAAGGAAAGGAACTTCTCATGATCCTAAGCATACCACACTAATTCAGTGAAGCATGGTGGTGGTAGTGTCATGGCGTGGGCATGTATGGCTGCCAATGGAATTGGTTCTCTTGTATTTATTGATGATGTGACTGCTGACAAAAAGCAGCAGGATGAATTCTGAAGTGTTTCGGGCAATATCTGCTCATATTCAGCCAAATGCTTCAGAACTCATTGGACGCCGCTTCACAGTGCAGATGGACAATGACCCAAAGCATACTGCAACAGCAACCAAAGAGAAAGAAGTGGAATGTTATGCAATGGCCAAGTCAATCACCTGACCTGAATCCGATTGAGCATGCATTTCACTTGCTGAAGACAAAACTGAAGGGAAAATGCCCCAAGAACAAGCAGGAACTGAAGACAGTTGCAGTAGAGGCCTGGCAGAGCATCACCAGGGATGAAACCCCAGCGTCTGGTGATGTCTATGCGTTCCAGATTTCAGGACTGTAATTCACTGCAAAGGATTTGCAACCAAGTATTAAAAAGTGAAAGTTTGATTTATGATTATTATTCTGTCCCATTACTTTTGTCCCTTTAACAAGTGGGAGGCACATATGCAAACTGTTGTAATTCCTACACCCGTTCACCTGATTTGTTTGTTTAATTTCAAATCCATTGTAGTGGTGTATAGAGCCAAAAATGTTAGAATTGTGTCGAATGCCCATAAACCAATATTTATGGACCTGACTGTATATATATATATATATTATATATATGTATATATGTATATATATAATACATACACACATACACAGTGAAGGAAATAGGTATTTGATCCCCCTGCTGATTTTGAATGTTTGCCCACGTCACAAAGAAATGATCAGTCTAAAATATTGAATGATAGGTATATGGTAACACAGAGACAGAGTAGCAACAAAAATTCAAAAGAAATGCATGTCTAACAAATGATGCACTGATTTTGCATGTTCATGAGGGAAATAAGTATTTGATCCCCTTCACAAAACATGACTTAGTACTTGGTGGCAATCCCTTGTTACCAATCACAGAGGTCCTACGTTTCCTATAGTTGGCCACCAGGTTTGCACACATCTCAGGAAGGATTTCAGCCCACTCCTCTTGGCAGATCCTCTCCAAGCCAAGTTTGGGCAACTCAAACTTTCAGCTCCCTCCACAGATTTTCAATCGGATTAAGGTCTGGAGACTAGCTAGGCCACTCCAGGACCTTAATGTGCATATCTTCTTGAGCCACTCCTTTGTTGCCTTGGCCGTGTGTTTTGGGTTATTGTCATGCTGAACACCCATCTACGACCCATTTTCAAACACCTGGCTGAGGAAAGAGGTTCTCACCCAGAATTTGACAGTACACTGCCCCATCTGTCATCCCTTTGATGCGGTGCAGGTGTCCTGTCCCCTTAGCAGAAAAACACTCCCAAAGCAGAATGTTTCCACCACCAGTTGGGATGGTGTTCTTGGGGTCATAGGCAGCATTACTCCTCCTGCAAACACGGTGAGTTCAGTTGATGCCAAAGAGCTCGATTTTGGACTCATCTGACCACAACACTTTCAACCAGTCCTCCTCTGCATCATTCAGATGTTCAGTGGTAAACTCCAGACGGGCCTGGACATGTGTTTTCTTGAGCACAGGGACCTTGCAGGCACTGCAGGATTTCAATCCTTGTCGGCGTAGTGTGTTACCAATTGTTTTCTTGGTGACTGTGGTCCCATCTTTGACAAGATCCTCACGTGTAGTTCTGGGATGATTCCTTACTGTTCTCATGATTATTGACACTCCCTCCACGAGGTGATATCTTGCATGGTGCACAAGACCTAGGGAGACTGACACTTGTTTTGTGTTTCTTCCATTTGTGAATGATTGCACCAACTGTTGTCATCTTCTCACCAAGCTGCTTGGCGATAGTTTGGTAGCCCAGTCCAGCCTTGTGTAGGTCTACAATCTTGTCCCTGACATCCTTGGACAGCTCTTTGGTCTTTGCCATGGTGGAGAGTTTGAAATCTGATTGTTTGTTTGCTCCTGTGGACAGGTGTCTTTTATACAGGTAACAAAATGAGATTAGCAGCACTCCCTTTAAGACTGCTTCTAATCTCAGCTTGTTACCTGTATGAAAGACACCTGGTAGCCAGAAACCCTGCTGAATGATAGCTTTACACATAGAGACTGCCATGCCTATATAAGCCCCAAAACAATAGGAAACCTTGTATGCTTTGTCAAAACTCAGTTACAAGTTCTACAGATGAAGTTTCTAATTTCTTCCATATTGGTGAATGAACTAAAGCCCTGCACACATTAGGAAAATATCAGCCAAAATCAACCGATACAGTAGATACTGGCAGACATTCAGCCTGTGCTTACAGGTCCGTGTTTGACAGAAGCTGATCTCACAACCGGCTTCTGTCAAACGAACATGCTGGAAAACCAGTAGCCCATCGGCATCCGATCAGTGCTCTCAGCCAATGGCGGTGTGTTCTTGCATAGGGGCAGTCCCCCCTGTCAGCATACAATAGCTCAGTGGGAGATTGCTGTGCTAACATCTCATCATTAGTACACAAACGTACCATGTGTACCAGTCTTAATACTCACCATTTATAATGGTCCTCCTGCAAATTTCCCACACAACCAATCCATAGGCCCACACATCTGTCTGTTTATAAGATTCAAATGAGTCTGTTCGAATGGTCTCATCGAGGACCTCTGGAGCCATGTAACGTTTGGTACCAACTCTAGGGTTATTACCAATGTCAAGATAATCACTATTCTGAGAGTGTATCACTGCAAGACCTGTAAATAAAAAGTAATTTTTTTTAACTTGAATTTTGTAATTTAATAGAGTAAAGAGAAAATGTACAAATATTTACATGCTTAAAATATTGAACTATTTTACAAAAGAATAAAGAAACAAAGATAACAAGTAACATGTACATACCAAATCATAATAATAACCACTTAAGCTCCAGAAGATTTTACCCCCTTTATGACCAGGCCATTTTTTTCTATTCGGCAATAGGCTACTTTAACTGGCAATTGTGCAATCATGCAACACTGTACTCAAATAAAATTTTATATAATTTTTTTCAAACAAATATAGCTTTCTTTGGGTGTTATTTGATCACCACTGGGTTTTTTTTAAATCTTTTATTATATAAATGAAAAAAGAAGCAGGTGCAGCGCTCACAACAGGAAAGCCATTCTGTGTCAAAACTGGAGTCCATCAGCGGGTGCTCTGGCTCGGAACGGTCCTCCCCATTGTACAGAATAGAAAGAAAGAGAAAAGCCAACAACTCCTGAATCCATATAAACTGTTTTATTTTTTACACTGTAAAAAAAGCAAGTGTGTTTCAGCAGATACTCTTGATCACTCCACTGCAGCAGTGCTGTGGTCAAGGCTATCTGCTGAAATGCATTTGATTTTCATGTAAGAAATAAAGCAGTTTTATATAGATTCAGGATTTACCAGCTCTTCTCTTCTTTTCTTTTCATAGACGAAAATAGACCAAATATTTTGAAAATGTATTCTGCTACATGTCTTTGGTACAAAAAAATCCCAATAAGTGTATATTCACTGGTTTTCCTGAAAGTTATAGCATCTACAAACGATGGTATATATACCGTCTTTTTTTGTTTATACTAGTAATGGCGGCAATCAGCAGTTTATAGTGGGACTGTGATAGTGCAGGGGGCAATATGACACTAATTGACGCTAGGAGGGAACTGACTAAATGACATTGACATCTCCAGTGACACTAATACAGTGATCAGTGCTAATAATATACACTGTACTAATGACATTGGCTGGAAATGGGGTTAACATTTAGGGGCATTCAAAGGGTTAACTGTGTGCCTAACAATGTGTACTTTGCTTACAGTGTGCTGTTCTCACTAAGCAATGTGCTGGTCTTTACTCCCTGCTTTGCAGGGAGAAAAAAAATGGCACATCAGTGCTGTCCGTAGAAAGCCCTAAATCATTGGCCCGGACCCACTGATCGGTATGTGCTGGAGCGAATGGTAGCACAGCCAGGCTGGTGTGCGCTCCCCCTACCCGGATGAGCTGAATCATGTACGTGTAGGTGATTCAGCACAGTGGGGCCATTCTGCCGCAGTATATCTGCAGTGGTCACCAACTGGTTAAAGATGACTGCATATAATACAGAAATACAACATCAGTACACATATTAACATAATTTTGAACGCTGTTTTCAATCTTTTTAAATATACAGCATTCATTATTAAATACTTGATTTGCCCATTTAGGCACTTCCTCCTATGAAATGACAATACTTCCCTAAATGTGCTTCCATGTTGCCACCCTGTATTTCACATCCCTGGTGGAGAATACAGGTAGCTGTATTGACATGTATCGCACAGGCACTATCCTCCATTGTCTCTTCTAATTTTCAATTGTAGTTTATTTAAGTTTGAAAATAACAGTACAAAATTGGCGCATTGTCTCTTCTAGGAAGCTCATCCACAGCAATGCTATGCAGTCTATGATGGAGGAAGAGCTTCTAGATAGGAAGTGGCTGAAAGGATGGAGGAAATCAGCAGTACTGAGATGCAAAAAAAACTAACAAAAATGCACACATACACTACCATATATATAAACTAAAACTGGAGAGATAATAGATTCCTTTAATTTTAATAATCTGTAAAATGACCTTTTGCTACCTGTGCAGATACTCACCCAAGTCTGCAATGCAGCATTGTTTGTTGGCTTTCACCAAGATATTTCTGCTCTTCAGATCTCTGTGTGCAATAGCGGGTTTTCCTTGAGTGCCAAATATTTCCACATGAAGGTGCACCAGCCCACAAATGATTGACACTGCAAGTTGTAAACAACCTTCAGGGTCAACAGTGTTCCTCTGAAGGTAGTCATATAGTGATCCATTGTCATGGTAATGAGTGATCAGCCAAAGTTGGGTGCTGGAGTTTCGAGATGTCATGTCTGATGCAATGAATCCTGAAAGTGAAAAACGATATGTTTTATAAAGTCATGAAAATAAAGTCTGTTTCCAAAAAAAAGCATATATCATGTCCTTACTGAAAAGTTTGCTCAGACATGCACAAGCTACTTTTATGTATTATTATTATACAGGATTTATATAGCAGCAACAGTTTGCTCATCACTTTACAATATAATAGAAAACAAAGCCCTATAAATATTATTTATACATACGGCAGTTCATAAGCAATCAAGTACTCTGCACAATAGCACTAAAGTGTTTATTAAAATGAGCTTTTCATTTCAGTCTGCAGTCAGTTTTTTTTCTTTCTACTGTAGAAAGGGTATTGCTATCTTGAAACTGTGGCAACTGCATCAATAATGGGGGATCTCTGTACTCTTTGTCATTTTCCAGTGGATGTAATGGGCTCACTGGTTTTTGCAGCAGTATTTCTTGTTTTACAACTCTGAGACTGAACACTTATAAAAGGCAGTTTTTCCAGCTTCCAGCAAGCACAATAGACGTTTTTGAAGCTGCTCTTAGAGGCATCTGGCGTTTTGTTTTTCTCACTCTAAACACCCCTGCTTGTTAGTAAATGTGTTAATGTACACATAGGCATTTGGAGGAGTTTAGAGTGAAAAAAAAAAAAAAGAAACCACTTCCAGCATGTCCAGGAGCAGCAGCATTGTGAAAGAAAAAAAACATTTGATGCATATAAACGCGGGTTAATGTGTCTAAATGTGTGTTAACGCTAGGCACCTTTGGCTTTTGAGCGTTAATTCATTTTACTACCCAGAATAAAATATTATTCTGGCCAACAAAATGAATGAATAACCGAGCGCTTGATGCGCCTAAACGCACTACACTGGTTTGCATGCACCAAGCGTTTTTTCTGGAAATACACTGCTGCCAGAAGGAAAGGCGAGATAGCAAAAATGTCCAGTGTGCATGAGGCCTTAGAACTCAGACAAATGGAACCTAATAGCCTGACCTGCCTGTCTTTGCAGAACAAAGAATCTGCAATTACATTTGCCAAAATCCCTACTATAGGCTCAATGAACAGAGCAGGATAAAGATCCTTATTTGCAAAAGCAATTTTCAGATGAATCCACCAAGATTTGAAAAGAACTAAAAATAAGCATCCTTATCCTTGTGTTGGATCTTTGTGAATTGAGCCTATCTGTATTGTTTATTAATATTTGAACGGATTGTCTATACAAATACAAAAACATTGTCAAGATTTTTTTTTTTTTGAATGGCTGAACTGGATGGACTTTTGTCTTTTCTCAGCCAGACTAACTATGTAACTACGTGAGTTAATAATGATAAGAAACATGTTTGATTCAGTCAAATCAATATTTAATGCGATTCTAAAGGTTCATTTTTTATTTTTTGGAAAATAACAAACATGTTTCTACTTACCTGCTGTGTACAGTGGTTTTGCACAGAGCAGCCTGGCCCCTCCCTCCTGTCAGGGGCCCCCACAGCAAGCAGCTTGCTATAGGGGCACCCACTGTTTCGTGTGTCCATGCACACACATAGCTACAGCTTAACCACACCCGTCACTCTCTTCATTGGCTGACTGGCTATGATCAACAGCAGTGGAAGCCAATGACTCCCACTTACTGTCTTAGCCAATGAGGAGGAAGAGACCCAGGACAGCCGAGGCTGTTGTTGACATGGATGGATCGTGATGAGGCTCAGGTAAGTATTGAGGGGGCTGGGGGCACTACTGCACATTGAAGATTTTTTTACCTTCATCCATAGAATGCATGAAGTTAAAAAACCTTGAGTCTTTACAACCACTTAAAAATGTTTCCACAGCTCTTAACACCTGTCTAGGCTCATACCCCCAAACCTGACAGTGAAAATACTTTCATGTGAGAGCTATATAGAGGTCGGTACAGGATGACAAAGAGAGTATTTAACAGATCAGTGAGAAGGGCAGGAAGGGCGGTTGCCCTGGGCGCGGTTGGGGATTTGGAGAGCTGTGCTAAAAGGGGTGATTTAGAGGGGGGTTTGTACTAGGAGGGTGGATGTGTGTTAGGAAGAGGGATTGGGGGGGTGGGAATTTGTGCTTCTAGAGACGACTGGGGGTATTTGTTCTAGGAGGGGAAATTGGGGGAGGATTAGTGCTAGGAAAGGGGATTTGTGCCGGGAGGGGGGGATTTGGGGAGAGTAAAGGATTTATGCTTAGAGGGGAATTTTGAGGGGTAGAGTATTTGTGCTAGAGGGGAGATTTAAGGAGGGAGCAAATCTGAGCTGGAAGGGATTTGTACAGGAAGAGGGTAAATGTTTTGTTTAGGGAGAATATTGACTTGCAAAGGGAATTGTTGCTTAGTGTGTAAGTGTGAAGATTAATGCTTGAATTTGTTTGGGGGGCGTGGTGGGGCAAGGGAGGGGATTTTTTTCTGACACACAATGCTCATACATTTGGGGGGGGCACCATTTGGCATCTTTGCCCTCGGTGCTAGATGACCTTGTCCCGGCACTGGCTCCATGTAATATGTATATGGCATGATTGAGCATCTCTGTTTTCTGCTGATTCATCTGTCACATGTCTATTTTATATAGCAAAAGTTATGCCACAACTAAACATTACCTTATATTTTAAGCAGATATGACTTAAAATAAATAGTTTGAAGTGGTATTATATGTTGCTCCTATTTGGGAAGGCACCATGGGCAGAAGATATCAATATATATAAAAAAAATCTTCATAATCTATAACCACTTTGGGAACACAGTATTTTTTTACTGTCAATGGTGCATCAAATTCATCACTAATAATTCTTTTTTTATTCTATAAGATCTGAATAGGTTTTTTTCAAGACATTTAGAGATTTCAAGCCATAGGAAAATCATATAAATATCTTTTTTACATTCATTTGCATATTTATTGAAAATATAAAATCTTGATTTCCTTACAACTAACTTTTCAAAATTAGTACACACAATATTTTTCAATATTAATTCAACAATTTTTCTATTTTTCAAAAATGTTAAAGATACATAACAAATGTATCATATTACATCCTTACAATACCTTAATTGGTATACAGTAGGTATATTATTGAATCTGCTATATTACAGAAAGCAAAAAAGTAAATAATGCCATCCTATGATACATGTTTTCATCTGGCAATTGAAGATGCTGTAACTTGGGGTTAGTAGTAGACATCAATATATATTAAATTGTTACTAAACCCACAACAGTTAAATCAGTCTGTATATGCAATAAAGCATGCTTGTTATACTCACTGTGGAACCTAAGGGGTTATTTGTCTGCATTGTGTAAAAAGAATGTTTCATTCTGTCTTCAGTGATCCTTCCCTTCTTCTACTGTTCCCTATCCATCTGCTGATAGAACAGAGCCTTGGGGGCAAGCTGTACATGTGCAGTTTGGTGTGTATTGCTAGAGAGTTTTTATTCTTGGGAGAGTGCATGTGATCAGCACAGGGCCAATAAGCACTTTCCAGACAGAGGGTCAGGAATTATGCAGCCTCATAGGACAATCAAGGGAGAATGAAAACTGCTCCTACAAGATTAACCTGCTCTGCTCTCTGGACACTGATATAAGTCACAAGACTGCTCTAACTTCTATTGAGAAAAGGTAGTTAACAGTTTATATTTACCAAAATAATTGCATTTCCAGGTAGTATGTACTGTGGGAGACCAGATTTAGTGAATGCAGGGTCCTGGGTTTAGTAACACTTTAATATAACGTGACCAGGGGTCATTGATGCCAAGATGCTCAGACCAAGTTTAGCACTCAGCATGAGTCAGATAGTTTAACAATAACTTCATGACTAATTTGCATGCCTAAATAATTTTTGTACATATTTTTAAGGATGTATACGTTTTTATTTGCCACACTGTTATTTGAAAAAAAACCCTATTTTTATTATAGGCTTACAAATGTATACTTTGCAGCCCATAAAAAAAATATATTTTAAATTAATGTATTTTTTTTTTTCATAATGCCACTGTATCTCACAATAGAACAATTAAATAGGAAGCAAATTTGCCTCGATTCAGATAGCAAACGGTTTTCAAATGTTCCTCAAAGTTTAAAGCTCAGGAACTTTGCTGCAAACTCTATTTGAAGTCTTTGAGAGGTAAATTGTGTTATTTAATTTTTGGCAATTTATAGGGCTATTGTCAATAATGCCAAAATAAAATAAATATTTAAAAATACAAAACTGTCAGCTCTCCCCAAAAGCTCCAAACCTTACATACATACATAGTTGCTGTGAGCCCACCCTTCAGGGGCTTGAATATCCATTTCTTCAAATTGTTGGTTCTTGTGACTCAGATGACTAGTGGCAAAGGCATTATTCGTTTTTTTCTGGGGGATTTAAATTGTTGGCCTATGTGCCTCAGCTGACCAGCAGCAAATGGATTTTAGTTTTTTTCTTATTTGTTGTGGTGAAACTATACAGTTTTTGGTCAAAGAATGCTGGCATTCACCGCAAACCCATGGTTCCTCATCCCTACTTTCAAATAGATGGCACCACAGATTAGCACTGCAGCCAGAAGGTGGCAGTGTTTATCTGTAAGCTGAAGGCTTTTATTTGTATTTATGGAACCTTCATCCTGCACGTGATCATATGTCAGCGCTAACCTCGTGACCACATGATCAGGAACCATTCTGATTGGTTCTCAAACATTAGTGAGAAGAGCTGGAATTGAGAGCAAACAGTCCTGCAATGTGGCAGCTGATGTTTTTCAAAGGGAAGAGTGTATATTAAAGTGGTTGTTAAGGTTCCGATTTTATTTTTAACCACTTGAGCTTCGGAAGATTTAACCCCCTTCATTACTGCACCATTATTTGCTATACCACACTGCAGTACTTTACCTGGTAAGTGTACGATCAGGCAACGCTGTACCCAAACAAAATGTATATTTTTTTTTCACACAAATAGAGATTTCTTTTGGTAGTATTTGATCACCACTGGATTTTAAATGTTTTGCAATATAAACATAAAAAATAAAAATTTGGGAAAAAAAATTCTTTT